GCGTGTGTGTGTGTGTGTGTGTGTGTGTGTGCGCATGTGTGTGAGATATTGGCGATATAAAAGATCTAATTAATTTTAGCGCGCGAAGAAGCAAAATTCCGGGGCCCACTTCCCCGATCACACTGCTCTTGGTTGCGGGAATTTTATGAAATGTTGCCTTCCTAGTAATCAGGCATCGCAGCGCTCTCTCTCTCCCGCTGCATGTATAGATACATGCCCACGCACACATTCCATCCCTCCCTCCTTCCTTCCTTCCTTCCCTCCTTCCCTATTTCCTTTTCTCCCTCCCTCTCCCTTCCCCCCTCTGCGCCCCCCCGCCCATCCCCGGTCCTCCCCCAGCACCGCGGACAAACAAGGCAATGTTGACACTAGACTAGAGTGTATTTACTTGTGAATGATGTTCCCCGCACCTCACTGGCGGGCGAGGAATTCTGTTTTTTGGAAAAGGATTTCTTTCACGCGTGAGCCTCCGCTATTTTCACAGGGGAAGGATCTCTAAAGGAGGTACAAAGTTCCTTTTGAGAGGGACCATTGATTTTCCCCCTCCTATTCTCTGCATCTCGCCTGTTTCATATTTATCATCTCCTTTTAGACTGCATGTTCGCCGGATATTTACAGAGATTTTGGAATTTCTTTTTTCTCTCTCTCTTCGCGATCCATGTGGGATTTTAGCTCCGCTGCGGCTGCATGCGCGGGGGGATCCAGAGGCGGCCTCCGCGGGCGGGCGGACGAGCACCCGTTGCGCAAACGCTCTTAAGATTCAGCTCAGCGACGCACAAGCATACCGAGATAACCGCAGAACGCAAGCAGCGATGAGCAAGAAAAGCGCTCAAATATCTGGCCAAAAGGCAACAGCGAACGGCAAGTCACCGTTGCCCAGTGAAACAGTGACACAAAAGAGGCCGAGGCAACAGCACCAAGATGTCAGCGTGGATGGCTAAGTTATGGGGCCAAATAAAAGTACGTCCTGTTCCGTTACTGAGATGACTTCCCTCTCCATTATTGCAATTACTTCCCTGCCCTTCCTTCCCGTCGCAATCATTGCCCTTCCCCTCAGGACGAGGGAGACGTTGCAAGCCCCCTGGCTGCTTAATGGCGCTGGGGCAAGGGGCAGAGGCCAGCGGGGCTTCTGTTAAACCGGCCTCCTTCGCGTTTTGGCATGGACGTCCGTGCTCGGACTCGGAAAAAGGAGCGACAAATGTGACGAAGAAGCAAGATGTGACGCGACTCGTAATTGTTTCCTCCAACTCGAGACATCCGATCGCTATGAAGGCTTCCTGGCGAGGTCGGTATTCTAAATTCTTTCCCGGAAGACCGCAGTCGGGTTTCGTTACCCGCGTCGAGTAAACGATGTGATCGACTTTTGTCGCTCCGGCTACTTCCGTCCCTTATTTCCGTCATCCCTCGGATCCGCTGCGGCTCCCCCACCCCAGTATCTCTGCGTCCCTTCTTCCCCGCGTCCCTCGCGCCCTTTCTTCATCCTGATTGTTCTGCTCTCCCGCGTTTTATTTTAGTATTTGAAACAAGCCAAGACCACGACCGAGAGGAGTTGCTCCTGCGTCGCCTCGCCCGCCTCCAGCGCCCGGCGACGTGTCTGACGAAGCGCTCGAGTAAGACTGGAGGAGCGAGGGAGAGGAACAGACAGAGGAAACTGGTCGACGGGGACAGCAGTCCAGGTGTGAATCGGCCTCCTGGATTCCCGATGAGGTGCGCGGGAGCATCAGACCTCAAGGGAGACGAGGCCCGACGGCGAAGAGAAGAAATAGGAAAGGAAAGAGAAATTTATGCGAGGAGACTGTCAGTCGGAAGTGGGCGCCGGAGGAGTGGCCCGAAACGCAATGGATTGGGGTCAAGAATATGGAATGTGATGAAAGAACGAAATTGAGGGAAGCAGATAAAGAGGGAGGGAAGGAGAGACGAGGATTGGCACATTAATGGATTAAAGAAGTTGGACTGAATGACACTCACAGAGATAGTCGTCACGTTGAATTACAGTGAATCACCCTCAAGAATACGGAACTAGATGTCTTTAGGGATATTTAGACCTTTCAAATTTTTCATTTTTCAAATAAGTCTGACAATCTAAAATCCTCTAAGTTATAATTACTTCAAAACTCGAGTCGTTGCTTTGCTAGTTTAAAGCTCACATCAAGTTATCATAGCCATATTCACTCTAACTTTTAAAAACTAATTTGAGATCATAAAAAAAGTTTGATTAAGAAAGTTGCAAGTTTATTTTTATGCATTTTGGTTATTTAACATATTGATAAGGATGTAGTAAAATGATGCAGTGAGATCTCTGCGCGGAAGGCAGGGGCGGAGCTCTTCCGCGGGAGGATCGCCCCTGTTTTGCTGTTTCTTATTCCTGGGGTGGGTAAAATAGAACCGACGATAAATCGGCGCCTACACCACTATGTGCGCGCGAGAATTCACGCCTACACTTCAGAGCCACGCTTCCATGGTCATCCAGCACTCTGTGTTAAATGGACGTGGTTTTTAC